CTCTTACGACAATCATAGTCACCTTTTATGGCAAGCATGGGTTGCTTAAGATCTATTCTACCCCGGATCTTCACAGGTCCTGAGTCATTTCAATAGAGGTGTGTTCTTTTTCTCATTGTTTATTTGACATCAGGATTTCTTTTTGATTTTTTAATTTTATGATGAAATGGTTTGATACCAGAGAAATATTTCTTTGAGGCAGTGGCATTGATACCAATAAGTCAATATTGTGTCTCAGATTCTAAAGGACCAGGTATCCATTCACATGGACATTTATGTATTGGTTATCAGTTTGAAAATTGATTTTTACATCTCAAAATGTCACCCATGCATTTAATGATGATTATGTAAATTCAGCTATTAACTCCGTGAGTTTGTGTGCCCCCTGGTCAGGAATCACATCAAGTTGAGCAACTCCAGCAGAAAATAGGTGTAACATTGTGTGACTACAAGATTGACTCCGCAAGAGTTTTCAGTCTTCGGTCCTGCCCTTCTGAAACACAGGTTATAAAAGACATAAAACATGTTCACCTCAAATTTGTACCCAGTTCGATGAGAGGGTAATGTGGATGCAAATCATCTAACACCATACACATAGCTGAGGCTGTATACTCCCCAGGGAGCTGAGAATACAAATGATGTGCACACTGATCAAGGAGAATTTAAATGCAGCACCATGACATTCGACCAGAGAATAACACCAGAGAATAACCAGTCTTGATTAGTCTGTAAGCCAAAAACAACAGACATGCATGTACACATGTATTTTACCATGTCCCAGTTGTATAGATTAATGCTCATGATGTCAATCATTGGATTGACCTGATTAATTACAGACCGCCGTCATATAGCTGGAACATTGCTGAGTACAACAACAAACAAACAAACAAACAAACAAACAAACAAACATACATATATGTATTATTACTTCATTTTTTTTTTTGATTCATTTATTTTTTTTTTTCTATTTTTTTGTTAATATCATGAGAGTCATATAATATTTGAGTCATCACAAGGAAATATGACAGTTTAGCATATGATACTCAGTGTAAACAGTGAAATCATATCGGAAATTGCCTGACTGTGAGAACACCGGGCCCACTCACTTGAGATGATGGTATTTACAACCTGTATTGTTGAACACCCTTCACAGGGCATGTATGCCTACTCTATCTTCACAACAGCTAACAGTTCCACAGTAACATTGTGACTATTTGTCAGAAACTAAAGTAAGCAAGGCCCTTAAATGTTATGCTGGTGTTTCAAGGGACATGCCCTATTCGACGTAATAAGCTTTCGGGGCGCTCTCAAAATTAGAAATAGGGGGCTCTTATCAGAATATTATTTTGGTGAAAGAATTGAAAGATAAATTTTGTGGTTTATGCTTACAGCCTGAAATGTTTATGTACGACAGATATATCTTTCTAGAATTTAATTGCCCATAATTAAGGGTGCATATAACACACGAGTGCGTAATGTACGAATAAATAAGTCTTGTGAACATTGATCAATCGGAAGGGGTGCTTATTGGGATTGTTCACTAGCCAGTATATTAGCAAATACCGCAGTGGGCGCTTTTTAGAGCGGGGCGCTTATTACGTCGAATATGGTATGCCCCTTAGGATGACTGTGATAATCATGATAATATATGATTTGTGCAATATATCATTATATCGTCATATATTCAGGGATTGATTTAGATCTGCTGAGAAGCTGATATTCTGCCCCAGTTTCAGTCTGCAGCCAGTGTCAGTACAAATTCCCAAATTGGAATTTCAAATTCCCAGGTTTCTACAGGTTAGTATGGCCACCAGTAGTTTACATTTTCAACCCAAACCTCGGAGGTGTGTTTTATCCAACGTATGAACCGTCTAAATGCATAATACCAGAAACAATACCTTATAGTGAAACAATACAGTGTATCGCGGTAAAAAAGGAATATGCTCCAAGCGTGTGAGAGAAAAAACATGTGCAGCATGGTGAGGTGAAATTGGGTTTAACGTTGCGTCCAAGATTATTGCACTCATATAGCGACGTGCATGCACGTGTATGTGTGTGGCTGCTTGTACTAGTCCGGACTGATGCCGATTTATAGTGCTAGCTCACTGAGATACCATGCCGCATTTTAACATGAATACCCCACTCAGACACAGTATACTGACTCCCGAGCCGACCAATCCTTGTTTAAGCCCCTTAATGTCGAGCACCAGACAGGGTAACAGCAAGTACCATCTTTTAACGTCTTTTGGTATGACGCGGCCGGGGATCGAACCCGGACCTTCCGCTCTCCGGGCGGATGCTCTACCACAAGACCACGGAGGCGGCTGTGCAGCATGGACTAAATGGACACATGACATGTTAAAATGAACAACTTCTGATCACCTGCCTTGGTAGCTCAGTGGGAAAACAGTGGCTTACAAAACTTAACATGATATGTGAGGTTGCAGGTTCAGTTCACGTTATGGGATTTTCATGTAGAAAATATTTTGTGACTTTTAACCAATCATCAAACAAAATTATGTTCACATCAGGCATGTCCATGAAACGTTAAATGTAAAACCAAGGTAGTTCAACTGAAATGTTAAACCTCAAGGCAGGTTTAGAAGTGACCCATTTCAAAAGCTTGCTTCAATCAGGGGTTTCACCAAAGTGGTAAGTGTCTGAGAGCTGCATTACTTTAGGGTTTCCCTACACTTTAGGGGGTACGGGTGGCCTAGTCGTCTAAGGTGCCGTGATTTGCTGTGCAGAGTTGCGTCCCTTGGGCACGCCAGAAACCTATGATTGTGGGTTCGATTCCTGGTTCGCCCCGATTATGTTTCTACGTTTGTCAGCACCATACCCGTGCTCGTGGGTTTCACCGAAGTGGTAAACGTCTGAGACCTGCATCACTTTGGGCTTTCCTCCCACATTAAGCTGACACGCCGCGATATAACTGTAATACTGTTAAAAGCGGCGTTAAACCCAACTCACTCACTCACTCCTTACACTTTAAGCTGACTCGCTGCGATATTACTTTTCAAAGCGGTGTTAAAACAAACTCACTCACTCACTCACTCACTCACTCACTCACTCACTCACTCACTCACTCACTCACTCACTCACTCACTCACTCACTCACTCTGGGCTAAGAATATCTGTAAAATATTAAAATAATTTTGTTTGTCCTCATAATGTACATGTGTAATATTTTATATGATGCTATCACCATGCTCTGTAAACAGGGTAAACTTCATCTTCAATACGATATACAAAAGACATAAATATGGCATATTTAAATAACTGATGGGGACACAAAAAGGTACGCAATAGCAATATTTATTTCTTCTACATTCATTTTCCATCCAACATTCTTACCTGGATTACAATTAAGTTTAAAGTAGTAAAGGAATTTGCCATTAATATGCATGAAAGGTATTCCATCTATACAAGCACGATAATTCCCCAGGTAACATAATTGGTATTTTCCCTCTCTGTCAGATGCTGGAGAAACTGATCTCTTTCAAAGACTCAGTGCCAGGTCATCAATTTCCAATGAGGGTTGACGCATTGAATACTTCAAAATGGCATTCTTGACTTTGTAAGAATTTCACTGAGCCTCAGATGCTATCCTCTTGTATCTTGCATTACTTTGACCAGTTTGAAGGTTGTATTTTCTGATGAATTTCTGATGTGTGTTTTAGTTTTACTCTTGAAATAGGTTTGAGAGAGTCCTTGATGATCTGTACCGTGCCCTAATTAATGCACACTCTCTGATTTCATATGTCTATCAAGAAAAGAAAATATATTTGAAAAAAAAATATCTTTCTCATGTGAAACTTATTTCATTAGTTCATTTCTTTTTTAAAAGGAAGTTTATTCTAATGGGTTTTTTTCCTATTTATTCTGAAATTATGTTGGTCTGAATGTGATGGATTAGGAAAAAACACAGCTTTTCTTTTAGTCCAATTTCTTTTTTTATTTATTTCATTGAAGAATCTATTCCAAATATGCAAAAAAATATAGCAGATAAATGAATAAAAATGTGTGAGAAAGGTGAACATAAAATCTATATTGTTTTGAAGGTAAATCATTGAGGTTTGCTCCTTTAGTTTTTTCATGTAGGGACCCTCTCAATTTCTTACATTCAATGTAAGAGCTACCGTATTCGACGTAATAAGCACCCTAGGTGCTCTCAAAATTAGAAATAGGCAACCCTTATTGGAATATAATTTTGATGAAAAAAAAAGAGTTGAAATATTGCAGATTTCATGGTTTATGCTGACAACTTGAAATGATACAAAAGAAAAGTCTGTGTGTATTATACACAGCAGATATATTTTTCCAGAATTTTATTGCCCATAATTAAGGGTGCATATAACACACGAGTGCGTATCATACACGGATAAATAAGTCTTGTGTACATCGATCAATCAGAAGGGGTGCTAATTGGGATTGTTCACAAGCCAATAAAAAGCAAATATCACCTTGGGCGCTTATTACGTCGAATATGGTATGCTTAAAACCAAACTGAAGGAAAAAATATATATTGAAGAAAGAATACCATTGACATGAAAAAGAAGAGAGATATAGAATGTAAGCACACATATATGTAAAGAGATATAACCATTTGCATGAGAAATGAAATGAAAACAATGTACACAAAAAAGTAAATATATTTGAAACAGTAAAAGTTTGGGTTCTCCCCCACCCCTCTTTCATGAGAAGCATGTCCCACAATTTCAGTAAGGAGAAAACAAAGACTGGCGATTCCGACACCGTGGTGTTGGGTACATATTGATCAGCTTCCATTAAATATCACTGTGGAAAATATCTGTCAATCAAGTGTGCAGCATGATAAATAACAGACCATCAAACAGAGCTCGTTTTTGCATCTCCCTAAGTCCAACCGTGTGGGTTGAGACCCAATCCAGAGCTTGAGACCTCGGATCAGCTTTATCAGTAATCGTCAGATGAATATATGCGTGTGACCTGCCAGGGGTCAAGCACAGTGAGTGTTTGAGGAAGTGAGATCCTGCACACAGGCAGGCAGTGTTTGAGTGTATGGTCAGTAAGCATGAGCGGGGAGTTTGTGTGGGGATCCCTACTGGTTGTGTCCTGCTAGGAAGAGCTTGTTGTCTCTGTGTTTTTATCCGTCATGAAACTGAAAGAGAGCAGCGTGAACAAGCGGGTTAAGATGGCACGGTGTAAGAAGGACAAGAGTGTCGTTGATCATGGGGTGGTTAACCCTGCCATTACCGAGTTAGCCAAAAGTTTGTCAGGGTCAGATGGAGTACCGCAGTTGACTGTCAGGGAGGATGGAACGTATGATATCGGAGGGTTGCTACTCACGGACAGGTAACGTCACATGTGATTAACTGTCTTTGTTAATTTTGTGTCGCACTATCTGACGACTGGTCCAATGTGGGAAACACTTCTCTGATTTTCACCCACTGCTTCTGATTTTTGACTGAGTGAGGTGTTGTTTTTTCCTGAATTATGACTCAGGTAATCATGGTAATATGAATATTGTTGGAAAATATTATATATTTGATAATAATTTTAGAAGATGAATAGTCGTCATGAAATTAATCAAAATTTAACACAGCTTATTAACATTTCGAGACCTGTGAAGATCTGGGGTAGAATAGGTCTTCAGCAACCCATGCTTGCCGTAAAAGGCGTCTATGCTTGTCGTAAGAGGTGGCTAACGGGATTGGGTGGTCAGGCTCACTGACTTGGTTGATGCATGTCATTGATCCCAATTGCGTGGATCGATGCTCATGATGTCAATCACTGGATTGTCTGGTCCAGACTCGATTATTTGCAGACGGCCGTCATATAGCTGGAATATTGCTGAGTGCGGAGTTAAACAACAAACAAACAAACATTGACATTTCAGACAAATGTTTTTTGTTACATAGCTGCACATTAACTAAAAATATTTTATCTAGTCCCTACACGTGTACTTCATTACTAAGTCGTGATGAGCTCTAGTTTTGAACTATGTGCTGTATAATGTAATCCCTATAATGTCAACAACACCAGTGTGACCAGTCGATGGTATTTCACCAGCACATTCAATATTTCACTTGTGACAGACAGGAGTGTCCAGTCATGTCATATGCAGTAGGGCTGGGACGAGTCCGAATTTACTATCCGGGTACCCAACCCCCTATTACCCGACCCTACCCACTATAGGTCTCAAGAGATAGGTACAAAATGTCCGATTAGGCATTCTTTTACCATAGCACTGGCAAAATGTATTTGGATACATGTATTAAACAATCTGGTCATGCATACACTGACATTGACTCAAGTTATATCCATTCAAAGAAAGAATGGGTCCATAGTCAGAAAGAAATGCAAACATGTGTGACTTTTAATGTAACCATAGAGTTCTAGACACTTTTTGTCTTTAAACAATATAACACGTGACTAACCACGGGTCCGGGTAGTCCTGTTGGTACGCGGGTCCTACTCAGTACCCACCCGACCCGAGTACCCGAGTTACCCGTCCCAGCCCTAATATGCAGTCCTATGTTGCTTGTATCATAGACTTGCCATTTCACTCTCTTCAGGGGTGGTCATTGATTTTCTATTATAAACTATGTCTCTTTTTTCATAGACAGTTGGTGTAGAAATTATCTAACATTTTTTTAAATGAAAATATTTCCTTGTTAGATTAGACCATTTTTTAAAATTTTTAACTGAATTTTATGCTTAACATAAAGGGTGTGAAAATAAATATAAAAATATCTTTTAGAAATAAGAAAATCTCTTTATGATACCTGCATTGTACTTACCATATATGCCATAATAAGCTCCCTGGCCGCTAATTAGAATGTTGACAAAGTGGGGTGATTATTAAAACCATACACAAGTAGAAAAGAACTTGGTTCAAAAGCTGATGGAACGAAAACATTTTTGATAATATTTACTGGGCATACATGTACTTCTTTCGCTGCTGTGGGTAAAAGTGGGTAATATATGCAAGAAAACATGGCTAGTCATGTAAGTATATGAGTACGCTTATGAGGATTACTTTCAGACTGGTGTTGAAGTTAGTCGGGGGCACTTATTTGAACAGGGCGTTTGATACAGTAAATACAGTTAATACGGTATGCCATATTTCCTTTTGTAAAATACACTAAGGTTTTGGGGATTTTATGAGCTGAACATTTGTGTACCCCCTTTGACCTTCAGTTTCATGGTGTGCCAACCCATTCAGCTTGTACAATCATGTCCATCCCACCAGTGACACATGTAGTCTCAATTTGTTGTTGAAAATTACCATTGTACAATGTCCAGAGCTGCCCTGGGGAGTCTGGGTTAGAATAGGTCCCAGGGGGCACGGATGGCCCACTCGTCTAAGGCGCCGCGATTCGCTGTGCAGAGTTGCATCCCTTGGGCACGCCAGAAACCTATGATTGTGGGTTCGAATCCCGGTTCGCCCCAATTATGTTTCTAGGTTTGTCAGCACCATACCCGTGCTCGTGGGTTTCATGTCTCAGACCTGCATCACTTCTGGCTGTCCTCCCACATTAAGCTGACTTGCCGTGATATAACTGGAATAATGTTAGAGGCGGCATTAAACCTAACTCTCTCACCCACTATATGAGCTAAAAGAAATCGGAAGGGTCTTTTGGGGGGTAAGATTCATATTTTGCTACAGAGTGATGTAGGAATTTATCCATTCCTTTTTTATAGGAATTTTGCTTTTTTGGTGAGAAAAATCCCTGATAATGGAGGTTTAAATCAAGATAGGTAATATTTGTCAAAGGCTAAAAGTATTTTTGTTTGATTTATTTTGCCTTTTCCCCCTTTGTAAACATATTATTTATTGTTTCATTGTCTTAAACTGAAAATTCTCATTTAAAATATCAAGATAAATTCTTTCATTTGTTTAAAAAAGAGTTAATTTATTCAGTTCATTTATTCACAACACCCAACATATATATATATGACATGGTCCAAAAATATTCATATGCATTTTCCAGATGTGAATGATTTTAAACATGAGGGCTATTGTTCTATAGTTGTATAGAAAGCATGAGGCTACGTGTTTACAAACGTCTGTGTTTGTATAGATACGACGGCATGCCATGTTGATGTGTTCACTGGTAATGAGGTCAAGGCACATGTGTCATATTCTACATTACAAATTTGAAAATTGTGTATGTATACATAATGTATTATACAACAAACAACAGGCATTGCATCAACATTGATCTGAAATTAGGTTGTGTTCGTTTTGTAGTACCAGTTAATAGCTGTGCTATGTTTAGTTTGAGCAAAGATAACATTTCCTGGCAGTTTGAGGGAACGAGGTTTATCATGACCGTTTCATGACACATTTAGTTTAAAAATCATAAAACACTTGTATATAATGTACAGCCATAAGTTTCAGTTTATTATTTTAATATTGTTGATAATTTTATTCAATGATATTTTTTGTTTCATCATGACATATTGGCTTTCAGTTATGGAAGTTCAATATTTGAATATAGGTTAAATGTTGACAGTTTTATTGAAAGGTCTGTTTGAATATTGATAGCAGAACAGAAACAATATTTACACAAAAGTGAAACTCAAGTCCTCTTGAGAAAATGTACAACTTTCTGGACAACTAGTTCTGGATTATTACATTAGGCAATGTGTGATGTAGATTCTTTCACTGTAATTTTTGTAATATTTTTCATTTCCAGGCATAAAATCAATATTATTTGAAAAGTAATCACCCAGCCTGTCTAAGAACGTTTTTGACAGATGTTCTTTTATGGCCTGCGGTTTTCTTTTTACCTCTGAATTTTCCAAGCTCTTTAAGAATCTATATTGTTGTCAGCATAATAGTGTTTCGTGTTTAGACTATAAATGAGTCATAATGGCCTTGGAAAGTTATTGAAAATATCGAGGATTTGGTGAATATTTGTTTGATAAAAAAACAGCCAGTTAATTTCAGTCAGATACAATGGACTGATATCTGAAGACTTGAGTGTGCACATGGTGTAATGGATACAGGTGAAAAGGATGAAACAAGCACAATTCTTAATCGTTAAGTTGTGTATTCGTTTGTTTGTTTGATTTTGGTATAACACCGCACTCAGCAATATTCCAGCTATATGAAGGCTGTCTGTAAATAATCGAGTCTGGACCAGACAATCCTGTGATTGACATCATGCGCATCGATTCACGCAAATGGGATGTAACGATGACATGCATCAACCAAGTCAGAGAGCCTGACCACCCAATCCCGTTAGTCGCCTTTTACGACAAGCATAGTCGCTTTTTAAGACAAGCATGGGTTGCTGAAGACCTATTCTACCCCAGATCTTCACGGGTTTGTTGTGTATTCAGTGAGTCTGGTTATGAAGTGTCCTTGTGGGACATTGGTAGTACTATATTTAATGCAATATTTCACAATATTTAAGCTATAAGACAGCAGTCTGTACATAAGTGATTCTGTACTTGACAATCCAGTGATCATGAGCATCCATCCTCATAATTGGGAGACGATGATCAAGTCAGTGAGGCTGGACTCCTCATCAATTTAGTTTCCTCCTTGGGACCTACATTCTATCCCGGAAGTAATCTGTGGGGAAAAAAAGACGGCCTTACTCACTTTCACTCTCACTCACTCACTCACTCACTCACCCCCCCAATCACTCACTCACTCACTCACTGTCCACTCACTCACTCACTCACTCACTCACCTCCCACTCACTCACTCACTCACTGTCCACTCACTCACTCACTCACTCACTCACTCACCCCACTCACTCACTCACTCACCCCCCCACTCACTCACTCACTGTCCACTCACTCACTCACTCACTCACCTCCCACTCACTCACTCACTCACTGTCCACTCACTCACTCACTCACTCACTCACTCACTCACTCACCCCACTCACTCACCCCACTCACTCACTCACTCACCCCCCACTCACTCATTCACTCACTGTCCACTCACTCACTCACTCACTCACCCCACTCATTCACAGTCTAATCACTCACTCACTCACTCACACACACACACTCACTCACACACTCAGTCACTCACTCACTCACTCATACTGTTAATATGATCAGCTTAGAAGCAAATATTTTAAGCACACATGTCGGAAAAACAAATTAAGTGTGTGAAATTTGGACTTTAGATAAGATCCATGACTAGCAGGATATATTTCCTGAGATGACGTGGTTTTGTTGTTTTCAGTGTGAGATACGTGCACATGACACATGAAAACACATGATGTCGGAGTTAAGCAGGAACAAATTTGCTACATGCTTTCTGTCTAGTTTCACCATTACCCTACATGCAATATCCTATTTTTATAGATTGGAATTCAAACAAA